GAGCGGGTCGCACCATCTGAGGGATGCTGTACTGGGAGAGGGGCTGAATCCAGACAGAACTGGATTTGCTTGCATCATCTGCTTCCCACAAAACAATAAAGCAGCTCCCGACAGCTGTTGTGCCTGAGATCATTGTGGTATTACTGCACCTTGCAACTCTTGACTCCTTCCCTAAAATACTTCGTTTACACTGTGCTTCAGGGGAAGAAATGCTGTTACCACCACTAAAGTGCTGGTGGCCAGTGACTCTTAATCCCTCTTAATCCCCTGTGCAGGGAGAACAGAGGTGAGTGTGCAGATTACCTGATTTCTATGGTTTAAATGCCAAAAGTTAATCCTTTCAAACACAGGATATTTAAAATCCTGTGGTTGGCATGTTTATTTGAGAAACATCATGGGGTTTTTTTGGTTAACTAACACCAAAGGGATGTGTACGTTAGGTAGAATAGCTGTGCCACTCAGTTACTAGGAAAGTGTGATGAGCGGAGGGCTTAATTCTCCAACCTAGAAATCCTTTGATGAAATATGCATGATAAATCCCAGCTATGATTTATTACCATGTGTTTCTCCCTTTCCCTTTCAGCTGTTAATCCTAACGCTGGCTAAGGGTTCGCCCTCCTCTTATCGATGGCTGCTCAAAGTGCTCAGGAGGATTTGCTCCTGTATTCACCAGAAGTCTTTGATATATGAGATTGTAGCCTAACACTGATAATCTTTTGTGAGGAAGTGTCACAATACATACATCGATCACCCCAGCCTCTGTCTGTCAGACTCTCCCAACCCAACCGTATTTTTCATGACACAATGCGGTGCGTGGCCTTTAAATTACCCATCTGTCTGACAAATCAGTGAGTGTGGCAGAAACTGGCAGCAGCTTGACGTCGCCTATCACTTTAACTGAGGTGAAAGTAATGCAAACAGATTTATGGGATCCCCTTTGATTATAGACTATGAATATATTTGGAATTGATGGTTGGGAGGGAGACACAGCGGAGAGGCAGGAAAGGCTCGTAGGCAAAAGCATTACTGTTGGGTTTGCAGCTTAGCGTTTACTATTTCTTTCTATTTACTACTTCTTAATTTTTTCCTTCTCCATACAGTCCATCTTATCTGAGTACCTCTAAAGGTTTTTACATTCTTTCTCTTTCTCTCTCTCTCTTTCTCTCTCTCTCTTTCTCTCTCTCTCTTTCTCTCTCTCTCTTTCTTTCTCTCTCTCTCTTTCTCTCTCTCTCTTTCTCTCTCTCTCTTTCTCTCTCTCTCTTTCTCTCTCTCTCTTTCTTTCTCTCTCTCTCTTTCTCTCTCTCTCTTTCTCTCTCTCTCTTTCTCTCTCTCTCTTTCTCTCTCTCTCTTTCTCTTTCTCTCCTGGGTGGTTATTTAGCTCTTCTGTACTCCTAACTTTACAAATAGCAAGGCTGAATCTTTTCAAATGTATTTGCAGTACAGCTGTTAAATATATCTGTAACCTTCATTGCATGGCAGTAAATACAGCTGAATATCCAAGTGTGCTCTGGGTACAGTGTACAGGATCTAGTCCAACCCTCCTGCAATGAGCAGGGACATCTTCAACCAGATCAGGTTCCTCAGAGCCCTGTCCAGCCTGACCTTGAGTGTTTCCAGGGATGGGGCATCTGCCACCTTTATGGGGAAACTGTTCCAGTGTTTCACCACCCTCATTGTGAACTATTTTTCCCTTCTATCTAGTGTAAATCTTCCCTCTTTGAATTAAAAGCTATTACTCCTTGTCCTATTGCAACAGGTCCTGCTGAAAAATTTGTCCCCATCTTTCTTATCAGCCCCCTTTAACTATTTTTCCCTTCTATCTAGTGTAAATCTTCCCTCTTTGAATTAAAAGCTATTACTCCTTGTCCTATTGCAACAGGTCCGGCTGAAAAATTTGTCCCCATCTTTCTTATCAGCCCCCTTTAAGTACTGAAAGGCCACAATAAGGTCTTCCCGGAGCCTTCTCTCCTCCAGGCTGAACACCCCCAACTCTCTCAGCCTGTCTCACAGCAGAGGGGCTCCAGCCCTCTGATCATTTTTGTGGCCTCCTCCAGACCCCCTCAAACAGATCCATGTTCTTCCTGTGCTGAGGGCTCCAGAGCAGTACTCCTGATGGGGTACCAGCTCATGGTGGTGAGGACTTGAGTTCTGGGATGGAGTAGAGCAAAGCATCGACTTGTAGGTTTTTGGTCCAATGGTTTATCTTTGTTGTGGAAGTAACCAAGACCTTTGCCTCTGTGCAGAGGCTCTGGCCCCAGTAAGCTTATGGGGAAACTGTTCCAGTGTTTCACCACCCTCATTGTGAACTATTTTTCCCTTCTATCTAGTGTAAATCTTCCCTCTTTGAATTAAAAGCTATTACTCCTTGTCCTATTGCAACAGGTCCTGCTGAAAAATTTGTCCCCATCTTTCTTATCAGCCCCCTTTAAGTACTGAAAGGCCACAATAAGGTCTTCCCGGAGCCTTCTCTCCTCCAGGCTGAACACCCCCAACTCTCTCAGCCTGTCTCACAGCAGAGGGGCTCCAGCCCTCTGATCATTTTTGTGGCCTCCTCCAGACCCCCTCAAACAGATCCATGTTCTTCCTGTGCTGAGGGCTCCAGAGCAGTACTCCTGATGGGGTACCAGCTCATGGTGGTGAGGACTTGAGTTCTGGGATGGAGTAGAGCAAAGCATCGACTTGTAGGTTTTTGGTCCAATGGTTTATCTTTGTTGTGGAAGTAACCAAGACCTTTGCCTCTGTGCAGAGGCTCTGGCCCCAGTAAGCATTGCCTTGAACCTGGTTCGTTACCAAAGTCTGCTGTAAGAAGCCTGGATTTTTAGAAAGGGGATTTTATCCTACTTAGTGAGGTGGTTGTTCAAGTGCAGTGGTGAATTGTGGTGGTGAAAGCTGGGACTGAGAACTGTAAGTATGTCTCATGTACAGGCAACAACACGCCCATTCAAACAGCTCTTGGCTGCAGCTGAGCTCTGGAAGCCCTGGGCCATCCAGTCCCAGTAAGCAGTAGGGTGGTACCCTTTGGGTGTTAGTACAGTTGTTGAATCATTTTCTGAGCTCTCTGGAGCTTTCACAAGCTTCTCTTGATACTCTGCTTGCCTTCCTTCAGAGAAGCCATAGACTGAAGTGAGTCCCTTCTTTTTAAAGAACTGGTTTTCATGAACGAAGGTGCAGGCATTGGAAGTCACTTAACAAAACAGATAGTTGTGGTTCAGCTGGGATGGCGTTTGCCTGGATTCCATGTAAACTGTCATTTGTGGGGTCACCACAGATACTCAGCCCGTTCCCTGAACACCTTCCGTTTCCTCGTGGCAGGCAGCACTGGGCTAGCAGTGATCTGTCACTGGTGTGGGCTCTGGTGTTCCCTGTTATCGCAGCCATCGGTGGCTGTGGGGTTTGTGATCCACAGCTGCTTATCTCTGAGATAAGCTTTTCTAAATCCAGGGTCCTTCTCCTGAATTTTGCTTGGGGGATGTTGGCATAATCTTGAGCTGAAGTTGGTTTGTGGATTCCAGCATGCAACCTAAACCTCTAGCTGTCATCAGCATCGTGGCTCTGCATGTCTTTCAAAACAATAGAGGGAAGATGCCTTATGGGACAGATGTTTTCTAAACAAACCAAAGAGGTTTTTTTCTTTTTCTCCCAGCTAGTGTTTGCCTTGAGGAGAGAAAAAACAGGTAACATTCCCCTCCATGCTAAACTGTAGAGACCATTTTCATTAGGATGACTGTTACATGAAACAAAACATTTTGCCTTTGCCTGCTGCACAAAGGAAAAGGTGGTGGGGAATGGAGTTCATCACTGGTGGGATGAGTACTTTCCAGCCCACAGTCACTTACTTGGAAATCATGTCCCAGCTCCTGTAAATGGGGTGTTGGTGGTGTCACTCCTGCATTTTCAGGCAGGCTTCTGGCAAGCTTGTGGCAGCTGGGTTCTTGCACAAGCATCTCCCACATCCCCAGGTGAGGAGGTGGAGGCAGTGATGCCAAGTATTGCATCTCCTCACGCAAGGTTGTGTCTGCAGGGTTTCACGAGGCCTCCACAGAAGAAGTTGGGGCAGTTTGTAACAAAACTTTTAGGGGAGGAACAAGTACAGCAGAAATCTTGGTGTCTGACTGAGGTTGCTGTGTTGGTTTTGAAGTGCCCAGGAGCCCGTGGCTGCTCCCCACAGGAAAGCCTAGGTGGTCTTTGGGGTCTGTCTCTCTTCCTGTCCAGAACTTGGTTAGTGGGAACCTGTGCAAAGCTTTGGTTTGGCTAAAGGAAACTCTGATGTTTTTTGCATTTAACCCCTAGTTGACTAGGACATCCCCAGTGCTTGGTGGTTTTTTTCCAAATCCAAGCTACGTCTGCTTTAAAATCTCCATCCACAGCTCTCCCATCAGGTCCCACCTGCCTGGCTCCCACATCCATTCTGACAATGCATTCATTGGAGAGCCCTTTGTGCAATACCACACCTCGTTGGTGTTTGTGAGGGAAGCTACATTTGGAGCACAGAAGACAGATGGACTATCCCAGCATGATGTTCAAAGCCTGGGCACCAGCTCAGCTAGCATCACCATGAGAAGGAAAGCTACAGGTGGTGTCTGCTGAGGTTGTTCCTCTGGTATGATCCGGTTTCTGCCATGAGGTTTTTTTTTTTCAATCACAGCTTTTTCAGTCAGGGATCTCACCAAAGCAGGCATCACTTTGGTGGCTTTAGGCATGTTCTTCATAGCTCCTGGAAGCAGAGCAGAGGGCATGTGTGAGCAAAGTCAAACTGGGGTACCTTTTGGGTTAAAACAATCCTCTGTAGGCAGGAGCTCTGAGACCCAAGGAACGCGTGGTTTCTGGTGGTGACCTTCAGGACAGCATGGTCTGAATGTTACGTCTTGGACCCAGTGAATCCTACTGGATGAAGATCTTGAAGAGCATCCTGGTCCCCTCTGCTTGTAGTCCCTTTGCTTAGCTGCTGCTGAGTCAAAACACTTGCTTTTTACGAATAATGATTTTTTCTTTTCCTCTAGGGAAGATGCATAAACTTCACTCGGGTGAAATCGGATGGAACCTCTGCCCCTTACAGCCCACCTCCAAAGCTGCCACGGCGTGAGGATGTCCCTCTCAACAACGCTCCCAGGAATCCTCCTCCTCCTCCTGTGTCTCTGCAGCCCCCTTCCAGGCAACCTCCCCCCGGACCCCCCCCATCCCGAGCACCCCCTGGACCTCCTCCTTCCCGCCCGCCCCCACAGCCCATGGCTTAGAGCTCAGCAAAACCCTGATCGACAACACATGTCCCTTTGCTGAACACGGCATATTTATTGAGTATTGGTTTACAGTTAAAGATATCAGAATTTGTTGCTGGTCAGCAAAAAAAAAAAAAAATAATAGAAGAAAAGGAAAAAAAAAAAAAAGAAAAATTGCCACGTGTCAATTGTAGTGTATGAATATATTTATACCACACGTGCTGAGTAAGCGTTCAGTGGATAGATTCAGAGCTATGGGATATAGAAACAAACCAAAACGATCATCTAGACACAGCAGCAGCTTTTGTATGTATACATTTGAAGATGTATTTACATATGACATTTGTCTGACTTGCTACGTCGGACCCTTCAGCAATAACTTCAGCAGGGGCACGTGCATCGGCTGTTCCGATCGCTGCCGCCTGCGAGTTGGTTTAAACGTAGTTCATTGAGGAATTTGCTTTTGTTTTTCTTTTTTTCCCTGCAACAGTTAATACGGAACAAGAATTGCAAAGATGACTTTTCTGCCTTTGGTTCTGCAGGTGGAATTTCCATGGAAGTTTATAGGAGGGCTATAGCAATGAGGTAAAACAAGACTATGTGCCAATAATCTGCCGAGAGCAATCTAGCAGAGAAGAGACGTATCTTTTTCTCCTGAGAAAATGAGTTTGGAGCCTGCCATCTCTGGGGGTGTTTAGACTTGGTCGCATAGAGTTGCCACCAAAGGGCAGATAATTGGTTCTGGAAATCCAAACCTTGTTCAAGACCTGGGTTCAGATTTGTCCACAGTTCAGAGGAATTTTGAGAAAAAACGTTTTGGCTAGGTGTTTAGTTTTTGTTTGCAAAAAATGTGGTCCAAAATGAAGCAAATATATGTGCAATTTGAGCACGAATGCTGCGATACAGTATGTGTTAGTTGTATCATGTGTTAGTTATATCAGCAGCATTGAGGGACTGATTCCATTGCTGTTTAATTAGGTAAATTTCCTTTTGATGTCACTGCTGGGCAGAACTAGATCCTCTTGTGATTCCAACCTGAGTTCCTCTGTGAGGAGCTCTTTCTTCAGACAGCCCAGATGCCACGGGTATGGAGCCTTGCAGTCTGCCTGGGGTGGAGAGGCATGGCGTGACGTGTCGGTATGAGCTTTTACCCCTGGTCTAAAACATGTTTGCTAGAGGATTTCCCAAACCTTGTGACTGCTCCTCCGTGCCCTCAATTCCCTGTGTCATCAGAAAGTGGTGTGAGCACCCACACAGAGGTGGGAATTTTTTGACGCGGGACTGTGGGACAGCCCATGGATAGTGTTCACTGAGCAACACCTGAGTGGGCTGTGCCCAGATCATTCCCTAGTGAATCAAAATAACACCCGAGCTTGCTTTTTTTTTTCTCCACCACTGCCTGTCACGTTGTACTGGAGAGGGTGGTTGCAGATCCCTGTGCTGGTTTGCTTTGGCGCTGGCTGCGTTATTAGGATAGTTGCAGAAATAATGTTTATGTTGCGTTATGACACAGCATATACCTATCTCTCCATCTGGGTGTGGGTGTGTAGCACATCACAGTGGTTATTGGCACATAAATCCAGGATAAAACACTAGCTCTATTGAGCACTTACTCCAGATTGAAGGCCTCTTCCTGCAGTTGTCACAGGCGTATAAAGCTGCACTGGTACAATCAGGAATCAGAAACTTGCCTTTTTCCAGTGGGAGTCCCACTTGCAGAACTTCATACCAAGCTCTCATCTGTCTCTGCTGACCACTGTGCCAGGCCGTGTGTACGCAGCCGAGGCTGTCAAAGACAAACTCAGAAGAACCACAGAGCCTCTTCCTCCTCTTGCACGGCTCCGCTCTCTGCGTCACGCTCTTACCTCATGTCTATTGGTGCAGGTAGTGGAATCACACTTGTGGGTGCCAGCTGGGCTCGGAGCTCTTCCTAATTTAGGCCTGAGCCAGCAAAGCACTTCTGCATGCATTAAAATGTCCTGCAGGTCAAGAGGAACATCCTTATGCCCAAGTACTTTGCTGATCTGTGACCTCATCGTTATCAGCAAGAATGGGGATGCGCTCAACCCTTTCCTCATTCTTTTTAGTCACTTGAATAGGGTCTGCATAATTTGGTCTGTAAGACTGGCTTTCTGGTTGGAGGAGAGAGAAGTGTGTGTGTGTGTGTCTGTGTGTGGGGGAACTGGGAAGGTTTTTATTTGGTTTCTTTTCCTTTACAAAAGTTGCTGGGAGAGAACGGAAAGGCCTTGTGCAGCCAGTGCAGCACACGCAGGGTCAGCACTTAATCATCTCCCTTTCCTTCAGCTGAAAGGTGAAACTAAAACACGACAGCTTTTCCACTGCAGTTCTGGTGAGGCTCTGCTTCTGACACCAGTGGAAGAAACAGGGTGACTCCAGTGATGGGGTAGGGACCAGGACGTGGGGGAAGGTGCTCTACAAGCAGAAATCATCGGCTGACGTTATTTTTTTTAGTAATAAAAGGGAAAACTTGCTTACAGGATTAATATCTGATAATAAAGTTGAATTGATGGCTCAGGAGTAAACTTTAGCTCATGAAAAAGCCTGGCAGCCAGATTTCATGTTGCCTTGCACCTGTACAGATCTGGAGAGGGGTCGGTAGAGCTGTTGCAGATTTGTGTTGATGTTGATGTTGGTAGAATTGGACTCGCTTCCAGTGAGAATTGGAGGTGCTGGCTTAGGGAGGGCTTTTCCCAGTGGCTCCTCCAACATGCCTGTTGTGTGCAGTTGAGGAGAGTGTTCTTCCTTGCTGGAATAGCCAGTCTTGTAGAGATTAGTGACATTTTTTGCATCACTTGCAAGTGCGGCAAGGGTAGGAGTGCTTTGGGCTTCCAGGTGATCAGTTCCATGTATGATAGAGCAGGAAGCACCATGAATTTGAAAATCAGATTCAGCATAAAGGTATTTAAAAGACGGGTAGACACAGTGCTTGGAGACATGGTTTAGTGGTGGTTTTTATCAGAGTCGGGTTGATGGTTGGACTAGATGATCTTAAAGGTCCCTTCCGACCTGGACAATTCTATGATTCTATAAATGGAGTTTATTTGGGGTGTCACTCCAGTTCTGCAGCTGCTGTGATGGGAGCACTGCAGGTTTAGTTTAGTTTAGTTTGCTGGTGAAGTGGGGGGAAGAGATGAATTACCTTTTTGCAAAGGGGGTGGTGGAGAATATTCTGTGCTGGTGACAGAAGGACCTTTTAGTTGCATAGACACGTGTCTGTTCATGGTGATCTTGGGGACCACGACAACGCAGTAGGAGAAACCAGTTGTTATTTTACTGTCTGTTGAGCTTGATCCTTACCTGGTGTCCATCAGCTCCAGGCTGACTGAAGTCCAGGCAGTAGTTCTGGTGTCTGTCAGCTGAGAGCTGGCTCAAAATAAATGGCTTGATGCCTCGCTGTGTGTGTTCCGGTGTGCTCCTGCGCCAGGCGTGATCACAGGCCTTACACTGCTCAGAAATGTTCTCCTGTGGGATGATTCCCATCTCTTTCAGCCCGTAGCATCATTTGAAACTTGCAGAAAGCGAGTGTTTAGAGAATCCGAGAGAAAAATGTGGATTCTGGGGACCTTTGGCTCCCACGTAGCGCAGATGTGAGAGGACACACGGTGGGAAGCAGCAGGGAGGGAAACCCCATGGGCTCCAAGCTGCCGGAGAACTGCCTTGATCAAAGCATATTTATGGCCATCGTTCGACCTCGGTGCGTGTCTTGCCATCTGTGGGAGTAGCCTGCAGAGCAGACGGGCCTAAACGTGAAAAGAGGTGGGGGGAGGCAGGGAAGAAAAAAGGAAAAGAATCAGCTCCTCTTTCTGAATGAGCGAGCATAACGATGAATGACATTATTTCCTGAACTGTACCAGTTCAAATGCATCTGCACCTGGTGCTCCTCAAGGCTTTTTCCTCCTGTTGGTCTTTAGACAACGCGATCAGTAATGTGCTTTCTCTCTTTAATCGTTTTGCTGGTTTTATTGTTGTTTTTGTTTTTTAAAAAAACACATTTCACTGAGAAGACAGCCCTACTTCTGTAAATATAGAGTTTAATTTGGAGGAGACAGCACACTTCTGGATGTTACTGCTGGACAGTTATTTATTAAAAGGGGCTTAAGGTGAATAAATACAGGTGGCTCAGGATACATGCATGCAAGTGTGATAATGCAGTATAGCATTTTCAGTTCTCTGTAGTTTTGGGGGATTTTTGGGTCATCCTAGTTTGTTTAGAAGTTTGTTACTGATCTGATACTTTTGAATAATGCAATAGACATTCCTAACATATAACAGTGCTTGAACAGATGTGTAGATTATGGTAGATTTTTCATTTTTTTTAGGGGGGAGGGAGTAGCGAAGGATAAATGTTTTTGTTTTTTAAGGGGGGAACAATGTACTGTACAAAAGGTTGTTTTTTTTTTATAAAAAGACATGTGTTTTCAGAAACAGTGGGGTTGTGGGCTGATAGACAGCCGGGTCATGGAGATGAGGGACAGAAGGAGCAGTTGGGTTTTTTGAGGGACATAGAAGTTTCAAGAGGGAGTGGGGGGGGTTTGTTACTGGTACATGTGGTACAAATTTTTGTAACTGACGTGCTGCTTCCGTGTTATAATCCTATAACCTTTATGCATTTTACTGCGCCTGCTCCATTTTTATTTTTTTTTTCTGAGAAAAACCTTGCAAATGTAATGCCTGCATGCAAATGTGGGAGATGTAGCCAAAGTCTTGTAATCCAACATAATGTAGCCTTAATGGATTCAAAATCACCAATAAAAGTGCTTACTGGATAAACACGATGGAGAATTTCATGGCAGGGTCATTTTGAGAGGGGGGTAAGCTTGTGTGCCTCTGGTTTCTAATCAGCTGGGCCATTGTCCAGGAGGAGAACTTGGGGTTAGGCTGTCAGAATTCCTGTCCCCAGGTTGCCACTGATTCATTAGTTGACTCAAGACTATGTTCTGTGCCTCAGTTTCCTGTTTCTAGCCTGAAAATTTCAGTCTTTGCCTGATTCAAAGGTTGGGCATCGTTTGTTGGAAGCCCACTTAGATCCCAGGTACCAGAGTGGAAATGCTGAGCAAATTCCACTGGGGTCAGTGCCCAAACAGCGATTGACACGGGGCAGGCCTAGGACTTACTGCTCTGTCTAGAAAAGTCATCCAACATGTAGAAACAACAAAGGAGAAGCCACACAAGAGAAGATGCTGGAGCTGAAGGCTTTAGCAAAGAGAAATTCTCTGGCAAATCCTACCCCTGTGAAAGCACCCGAAGCAGAAGGCTCCAACCAAGGCCTAACACTCAATCACAACCACTGGTTTTTAGGAGCCTTGACTGGAGGACGTGGGACTGGACCATAAGATCCCTTCTTCAATGTCTCTGAAGCTGGTTTTTCCTTCCCTCCCTGCTGCTAGTGGTTCCTCTGCATCTCCTCGAGCCCCATGGAGGATTTGGGCTGGGTGGGGGAAGCTGGTGGAAACATAAGACAGGCAAGAAGGTCAAGAGGGGTAGGCCACAAAAATCTCCAGCCCCCGACAGGCTGCAATTACGGGTCATCAAGGCTGCTGCAAAGCTGCTGAGCTGTGCTGGGCTCCCAGTCTGCCCAGCGTGGCAGCCACAGCCCCCGTGTGCCACGGGAAAGGAGGCAGAGAGCAGCCCTGAGGAGAAGGACTTGGGGGTGTTGGTGGAGGAGAAGCTCAACATGAGCCAGCAATGTGCATTGGCAGCCCAGAAAGCCAACTCCATCCTGGGCTGCACCAAAAGCAGCGTGGCCAGCAGGGCCAGGGGGGATTCTGCTCCTTGACTCTGCTCTGGTGAGAGCCCACCTGGAGCAGTGTGTCCAGCTCTGGAGTCCTCAGCACAGGAAGGACATGGACCTGTTGGAGCAGGTCCAGCAGAAGCCATCAAGATGCTCCGAGGGCTGGAGCACCTTTCCTGTGAGGACAGGTGAAGGGAGTTGGGGGTGTTCAGCCTGGAGAAGAGAAGGCTCCAGGGAGACCCTTAGAGCCCCTTCCAGTCCCTAAAAGGGTTCCAGGAGAGATGGGGAGGGACTCTGGATCAGGGAGGGGAGCGATAATACGAGGGGGAACAGGTTTAAACTGAAAGAGGGTAGATTTAGATGAGATCTCAGGAAGAAATTCTTTGCTGTGAGGGGGGTGAGACACTGGAACAGATTGCCCAGAGAAGCTGTCCATGCCCGAGCCCTGGAGGGGTGCAAGCACAGGCTGGATGGGTCTTGGAGCAACCTGGTCTGGTGGGAGGTGTCCCTGCCCAGGGCAGGGGGGTGGAACTGGATGATCTTGAAGGTCCCTTCCAACCCAAACCATTCTGTGATTCGGTGAAGCTGGTCCTTGCTCACACACACCCCCCTGAGCCCACATCGGCCTCATCTGCAGCAGCCGTGGGTGCTGGTTTTGGGGGGATCTGGTAGCCTGGGAGCTGAAATCCTGTGCAAATCCTGTGAAATCCTGAAATCCTCCTGGAGCCGGGGGTCTGACAAAGATCCCGCCTTGCTCTCGCTCTGCTCCCCAAGCTGGCCAAACAATACTCGCCCCAAATGGGTTTTTGTGGCCTTCACTCTTTTTTATTGTTCCCCCATCTGCTTCTTGGGCGAAAGGCGGGCTCTCGGAGGAGATCAGATAAACAAAAGGGGTCCTGGAGCCAAGACTCTGGGCATTTTTTGTTCCCCATTAACAAAAAAAACCCCGACACTGGCTGCAGCTGGTTGGGTTTATTCATGCCCGAGACAACAAAATTCAGCTTTGACCTGAAGTTCCCCAGAGACTTGGGAATGTGCAGACCCAGGGCTTTGGTTTCGGGCTTGCCTATAAATAGCCTCTGGTGCTGATTTAGCATCTTTCATCAAACATACTCCACGGGTCTCAGGAGTGGTGTGTACATGTGAACATCCCCCAGCAGACCCTATTTGGCTGCGTGGAAAATCCGCAGCCCGAATTTTACTGGCTTCAGTGATCTGAGCCAGGAGCTGAAAAAAAATGCCCTTTCTCCCCATCTTCCCATTCTCTGAGAAACCGCGGGCAGAGCACGTTGCCCGTGCTGGAAGTGGCCTGATCTTTACTCCCATGAACGTGCTTTGCCCTTCGGGTTAGGGCTCATCTTGATCTTCATCATCTTCTGCAGCAAAGTGTCCCCCTCCCTGCACACTGAGGACCCAAATTTTCGCTGCGAGGGAGGGCACGCTTGGAAGTTTCCCCGCTGGGTGCTGCTCTCATTTGTGACACAGCTGGGGAGGACTGTGAGATGATGAGAGAAGATGGAAGAGCTCCCTGGAAGAAAGCGACCATCCTGCCGAAAGGTTTTGCTTGTGATAGAGATGGAGAGATGTTTCCTTTCGAGCTTTCAGAGATGCAGGATTGTTGTGCATGGGTAAATACTTCACTGAAGGTCCTGAGGTGGCCCCATCTGTGTCTCTGCCGTGGAGTTCACTGAGGTGGGCTGTCCTACCAGCCTGTCGCTCCATGGGGCAGCTGAGTTGCCCTTGGTCCATGCTGGTGGCCTCCTGCATCCTGCTGAGCCTCCGAGCTATGATTCTTGGATGAAATTTCTTTCTTCATGATAGAAAGAGGGGCCCTGCAGGAATGTTCTGGGTCCTGTCACCCAGAACACCTCACGCTGGAGGTGTGCACCTTTCCCTCTGAAGGCAGAGGGATTTATGGATTCAGAGCATCCCCGGGGCCCTGAGGAGTTAACGGAGCATCCCCGGGTTCACCCAACTCTGCAGAGTCACTTTTGTGGCGTGGCACAGCCAGGCTTAAGCCTTTTCTTCCCTCCTGTGATGCTGCTGCAGCAGAATCAGGCCATGGCTGTTTCCCTGCCCTTGGTTTTGTGCCTCAGTTTCCCTCGCTGGAAAGACAGAGCCCAGCTCTGGCTGTTTGAACTGCTCAGCTCTCCTGGCCGGGCAGTTTCTGCAGCTATAGGGATGGTGGTGGCTTCTCTCAGCCCCAGCAGCCACCAGCTTTCCTCCCCGGGTACCTTTGCAGCTCCTCCTGGGGCAGAGGGAAGAGGCGGGAGAGGCTCCTGGAGCTGGCCATGGGCATGACTCACGTCTGGGCATCCCAGTGGTTTTGGTAGCTCAGGAGCAGGAAATTAGTGTAAAAATAGACTGTCGGTGTGTTTGCAGCCAAGGAAAGTGTGTGACGTCTCTCTGCTGGGATCTGGCCCTTTCCTGACCGGCTCCTGGGGGATGAATGCAGAGGAGGAACTATGGAGAAGAACTTGTCCCTGCAGAGGGGGGCTGAGGGCAAATGCCAGCACCCAGAGCCTGTTGACTTGTTATTGTAGGGTTGCCTGTGAGCCCCAAGACACTCTGTCACTGCTTGTCTTCCAGCACAACACCAGGAGGGGGTGGAAGGTGCCCTGGAGGCCACGCTCTGAGCAGACCTCCAGCCTGGAAAAGGAGCCACGAGCCATCACAGCTTCACTGTACCTGTCTCCTTGTCTGAGCATCCCTCTGAGAGGTGGGGCTGGTGTCCCAGCGAGGGTCCTGGCTGCCCCACACCTACCCTGCCCTTCTGCTGAGGGGTAAACCTCCCCCCAGGTGCTTCCCCCTGCCCCACAGAGGAGCCTGGCAACACACAGAGTGTTTCCCATCATATTTTCAGTGGGAATCCTGACCTTCTGGCTGTAAAGAGCAAGGAAAGGGTTACGGTGTGTTTGTCCTGTGAGGGCTGGCAGAGCCTCTCCCAGCAGGGATGCTCTGAGACCAGGAGATGCTCCTCAGCAGGGCTGTCACCTGCGGAAGGGAGGCCACCTCACCTGCAGAAAGGAGGCCACCTCACACGGGCGTGAGGCCACTATGGCACAGAGTGGGCATTGGGGCTCTGCGGGGCTGGGGAGGGGGACCTCAGGCCTTGGTGGCCGTGGTGGCCGTGGTGGCAGGCCTGGCCAGACTGCCACTGGAGGGCAGGACTCGACAGCCTATTTCCCACTGTGGAGCAGCCGGCTCGGACTCCTTCAGAGCAGAGTGAGAAATCAGCATTGCTTTAAAACAATATTTTAAAAAAAAAATCTGTTTCAGGATGGATTTGCTGGGGAAACCTTGCTTAAACCTGCAGTTCCAGCTCCAGCAACAGCCTCTTCTACCACCCACAAAATGGACGTGCTCTCAAGGTGCTCTCTGATCGTCTGTCCTGCCAAGGAGCAACTCCCTGGCTGTAAAACCTGGGAGCCACATTGCTCTCTGGTCCTCCTCATCTTCACACCAACCATAAAATCATAGAATGGTTTGAGTTGGAAGGGACCTTAAAGATCACCCAGTTCCAACCCCCTGCCCCCTTCCCTGGGCAGGGACACCTCCCACCAGACCAGGTTGCTCCAAGCCCCATCCAGCCTGGCCTTGAACCCCTCCAGGGATGGGGCAGCCACAGCTTCTCTGGGCAGCCTCTTCCAGTGTCTCACCACCCTCACAGGAGAGAATCTCTTCCTGAGATCTAATCTAAATCTCCCCTCTTTCAGTTTAAAACTTACTTCTCATCCTATGGCTCCACTCCCTGATCAAGAACCCTCCCCATCTCTCCTGGAGCCCCTTTAGGTGCACATGAACACTAATGGGCAGGAGCAAGGCCCCTTGTCTCTTCTCCCTGTGTAAGTCTGTCCCCACCCACAGGGTCATTTCAAACAGCAGGACCATCTTTTCTTGTGTACAGACACCTGTGCTTATTCCCTCAAGGGCTACACCAGAAAATAATCCCCACAGAGGCAGGTGAGGGCACGATCTCCCACACAAACATCCAAAGGCTTCCCAAATGCTGCATCCCAGCGGCTGCTGGCATTTGGACTCCTGGCATCGGTCGTGTCCCCCAGTGAGCTGCTTTTGCCCATTTGGATTTGGTGGGGGGTGCTTTCTCTCGTGGCCTTTGGGGTTAAACAAGAGCAGGCCTCGCCTGCGTTGTGTGGGGAGCGGTGGTTGGGGCAGCCGGGAGGAATTTCTTGGCAGCGGGCAGGAGCTGCGAGCAAGGAATGAGGAGAAAAATGCTGCGTTGGAGTCAGCCAGAAGCAGAGCAGAGGCAGCCAAGGGGCTGTGTTTGTGTTCCTGCCTCTCCCACCGGCCGCAGAGGGGCCCCAAGCAGCGAAGGTGCTGGGGAAAAGCAAAGTCAACTTCATCAATCCCTGCAAACCCCTGGGCAAAGCCCCCTGCACCACGGACCCCATCCCCGCTTTGTGGCTCATCCTTCTGAGCCACAAAGGTGCCAAGGGGGGGGTCAAACCCTGAGTTTTTTTCCTCTGTTGCTGCTTCTGTGATTGAACACACACACACACCCCCCCAACGATTTTCTCTTATGATACTTGGCACAAAAACGCTTGCGGTAATAAAGGAAACTTGGGAAATTAAGCTGTGGTAGCGATTTTCAAATGGAAATAATCCTATTTTGGGGTCATTTTCACTGTGAAATATGGTTCAAAGGCACAAGAGGAAAGGGCAGGGTGAACACTGGGCTGCCAGGTATGTGAATACAATTTTTTTTAGGCTTCATTGACTTTATTTTTGCACTGCAGATGCTCTCCTTGCTCTCAGAACTGCTGCCTTCCCCGGCTGCTCATTTTTCCCAGCTCACACCTCCTTCATAAACAGACAATAACTTTTTTGTTGGGATTGGCTTGCTGGCAAATTTACACAGCTCTCCCTTGTAATGATCTGATTTCAGGTGATGGCGAGCTGATTAGCAGATGTAGGGTCATTTGCTCTTAAGGATTGTGAGGGCATTCAGCTGCTCCTGCCCATTTAAGTAGTGATAAATAGGAAGAAAAAAGAAAAAAGAAAAGAGGTAGGGGAGCAGAAGGAGAAGGAGGAAGAGAAGAGAAGGTGGTAGTGCCTAGTCTCTGGGCTTGTTTATGCAGTGATTTAAAATCTGTGGGATGAAATCAGCGCAGTTTGCACAGTGAGAGAGACTAAGCCTGTCAGCAAACACAGCAGCTGCTGGGGACAGAGACTGGTGCAAGTCACTGGCAGGTAGGGCAAAGTGCTGTTAATAATGGGTGTAGAGCTGAAAGACTTGTTACAAGCAAGGGGGTTATGTCTAGACCTGAAAAGCAGAGGCCTGTGTGGGTTTGGGCATTTCTTTTATGTATAAAAGAAAACTCTGCAGTTTGAGCTGTCTCCTCACCAGAGCTACAGTTCTACATGGTATCACTTACGGGCTGGATTGGAGACAGTTATTCATATTTTAGCCTTGTAACAGAATACCTCTCTCCTGCTCAGTCTGAGGGATGAGCTCTGATTTCCTCAAACGTAAGTAGTTTTGTTAGACCATCAGTTTGCATGAAAGTATCTCTTGCACTTGGTGTGTTGTTCCTGTAACGATTCCACTTGACTTCCAAGTTCCTGGCTGGAAAAAAAAAACCAAAACACCTGAAAGAAATACAAACTTTGGGGTGAAATTCTCAGTGGGCTGTGCTGTTCTTGTTAGGTTTTAAAAATTTCTATTAGAAGAGAAAGCCATGGTGGAAGTGAAGTTGCTGAGCACTTGGGAACCTGGTTTCCATAAGCTTCCAAAGCAAGTCAGCTCCTGGTCTGAAGCTTTCCAGGCATAGGGCCAGACTTTAAAGACCTACAGATGGAAGAGGGGGCTTCCCCTGCACCCTAAAATACTTTAGCCACCCTCAGTCTAAAGCAGAGTATGCTTCAGGCTGCTCTTATTTGACCTAGAACGAAGCAGCTGGAGCTTAAGGGGTGGTGAAAACTTCTTGAGACAGTGCCAGGAATGCACCAGCACCTTTACTTCATGCCTTAAATATTTTGGGCTGGTTGAAAAAGGTTGAGCAAAATCCTGCTGGTGATTTTTTTTATTACTTTCCTTACACTGGTTGAGTATATATCATGGGCAGCTCTGCTGTCACTGATTCAAGCCCAGGCAGTTGCAAGGGCAGAATCAAGAAAAGCAAAGTACCCTGGTAGCTTCTTTGTTTTTGTCTAGCTGGAAACTGATTTGGACCAAACAGCTTTAAAACCCACAAACCAAACCTGATCATGGTGCATGTGCTGCTTCTGCTGGAGGTCTCTGCCCACTCCTGCTGGCTGATGACCATGCTGGGCAGCTCAGGGATTCTCTGAAAGCCTAGAGGAGGCCCATGGATGGGGTTTGAGAAAGGTTGACTGTGGAGATCCTTTATGGATGTCTGTACCCACAGCATGACTGACCCGCTGCCCAGGTGACAACCTCCCAGACAGCTGAGAGATGACTGTACTTTGTGGGGTACCACAGAGTACCCTACAGTAGAAGTCAACAGGATCGATGCCCAAGTCAAATTCTAACCACCTTAATGTGATGTTGGGCAGAATTTCTATTGACAGTCTTGTTAGTAGATTTGGAGTTCCCTTTCCAAAAAGGAGTATTACTTGAGGTGCAAAAATGGCCTTGGGGGGGTGTGAGAATGTGAGGCTTGGGAGAACCCATGAATTGTCTTCTGCCCCTTTTCTGAAGTTCTGTGTGATGCTGGGGGTAATCACTGGGCTATATGTGAGGTTGTGCCTTTCATAGCTTACCGGTGGTGTAAAAGATGTGTGTGCTCTGAGTGAGCTTTGATCCTTGCTGCAGGGTTCAGGTTCTCCAGACCTTTCCTAGCCCATCCATATTGATTTCTTATTCTCTGCATTGAAATCCCCTGTTGTGTCCCTTCACAGCCTTTTTAGTTCATGTTGGTGAGAGTGACCTCTTGGGCTTGTTCCCGTTTTCTGCCCAGTTTGGTCTCTGCTCCCCTCTGTGACCTACAGCTGTGACTCTGATTATTTATCTGGAAGGGCTTCTTTGTCCTTGGAGTCCTCAAGAAAGCTGACCTCCATGGCAAGTTGACCCAACCAAATCCCAACACAGGGAAAAGGCACGTGTCACCAGCCGGGCACAACCTTGGGATCCAGCAAAAGAGAATCCACCTTCTCCCCAGGAGGAGGGAGAACAGAAGACCACCCATGAGATCCCCTTGTTGATGAACCTGCCTCTCCAACATGGCTAGAAACCAGCCCCTAGTGACATGCTTATTATGCCAAGGGCAATGCCTCCTCCTTCACAGCTTGTCCTTGCCATATGATGGATGTGTTTTGAGGCAGGAGAAGCTGGCACAGCTCATTCTCTTGGGAATGGCCAGGGCAGCTTCCCAGGCCATCAGGGACCCTGCTGGGTTAAGTGAAATAGCAGCATGTGGAAAGGAAACAAGAGAGGCCCATAGTTTGGGGTTTAACCAGTGTCCCATGTGGGTCTGTTAATGTGAGAGGGGACAAAGCTCCTATATAACGAGGGTTAAGATATAGCTGGTGGGAACGTTTCCATCAGGGCAGCTTTCCATTAAAAATAGATAAATAAATGCTGGCACGGGTGGATTCTGACAAAAGTCTAGACAGGAAAATATTGCTACAACCATAAGATATTTTAGCTGATTTCACAGAAACGTTTCTCCAAATGAAAGCACTAAGAGCAGTTCGGCTCTTTTTAAAACAAACGCAAAAAGGAAAAAAAAAAATAAATCAAAACCACACTCCACTGCGAAGCCTTAACGTGGCACAGCAGCTAGTGCAAGCCCTGTGACAGCTTTGCTGGGCTTGGCATCATTGGAAGTTTTTGGCCTTAAATATGCTGGCCCTATGGTAGCCTAGAGATGCTTCTTGACTCGTGCCATGCAAGTCTAGATACGGGATGGGGGAGGAACCTCCCAAGGGCTGGAGCACCTCTCCTATGAGAGAGAGTTGGGGTTCTTCAGCCTAGAGAAGAGAAGGCTCCAGAGAGACCTTATAACAGCCTTCCAGCCCCTAAAGGGGGCTACAGGAAAGATGGGGAGGGACTCTTGACCAGGGAGTGGGGAGATAGGACAAGGGGGAACAGTTTTGAACTGAAAGAGGGGAGATTTAGATGAGATATTAGGAAGAAATTATCTCCTCAGAGGGTGGTGAGACACTGGAAGAGGGTACCCAGAGAAGCTGTGGCTGCCCCATCCCTGGAGGGGTTCAAGGCCAGGCTGGATGGGGCTTGGAGCAACCTGGTCTGGTGGGAGGTGTCCCTGCCCAGGGCAGGGGGTTGGAACTGGATGATCTTGAAGGTCCCTTCTAACTCTAACCGTTCTATGATTCTAAGTCTCTGTACAGTCTGCTGCTTTATTGAGCTTTACTATAAGATGTAGGATCCATACAGTGTGGCTGTGTGTGTTGAGGTTTTGTTTGGTTGGGTTTTTTAAAATAAGCTTTATTGAAGGAAGGGAAGTAGAGGAGGGTTTGTGAAGTTCCTCGAGTGCTGTTTTGCTGTGTTCCAGATTGGTAGAGATAGAAAGGGTTCGTAGTAACAAGCGAGTGGCTTATTTTGTTGTAGCAGAACTCACTGAGTCTTAGTGGAGAAATTACCTGGCTGTAATTCGTGTTTTGTGTTGGTGCCAGGGGCCAAAATGTTAGTGGGGAAGGGTGTGTGCGGGGAGAAGCAGTGGAAAAATTGCAGTGAGCTTTAGTCAACGGGGTTGAACGTAGGGCTCCTCACAAGGGAAGCCTGGTTTATTAAGCAACTTGAGCTCTCCCCGTGAGATCACATGTGAAAAACAGGTTGAGCCATGTCCAAAGGCGTTTCCCCACAGAATTTGTAGATAAGGCTGGTTTATACCTGCGTGTTCCCAGCACAGAGAGGCCAGTTACATTCTGCAGCTTCCAGAGGGAATAAGCCTCCTGTGGAGTACAGTTATTCCAATTTTCTGGTGGTAAGTTTATCAAAAAGAATTTTTTTCTTTTTTTTTTTTTTTCTCCCCTTCCCCCTACCTCCTTCAAATCTCAGTTTCCCTAACTGTGAGGTGTGATAACGTGTGGTTTTCTTCACCAACAGAGCCAGGTACCAGCACTGAGACTGCAATGGCGTGGTGGAAGGCCTGGGTAAGTAGAGGAAATGCTGAAATAAAACACCTTGACTTACAGGTTGCATCAGGCACTGGGTGGGAAGGAAATGTTTCCCTTTAAAAAACAGCCAAACCTATTTATTGATTTATTTTTTTTTTTTTTTCTGGGTGTAAAACAGCTTTTGTTACTTCCAAAACCTTACTTAAAGAAGGCGTTAAGATGGTTGCTGGCTTTACAAGGAAGAGCAAGCTCTCCCTGGTCCTTCACAATCAAGAGGGGCACAGGGGGTGTTTGGGTGCCTTTGTGTGTGGGGAGACAGTGGCTGGGGACAGCAAAGTGACACAGCTGAGGTCTGCATGGGGTCTGGAAGCTGCAGACTCTTCATCTGCTGAACAGTGAGTTCAGGGCACTGGTCCCCAGTTGTGCTGGCAGGCTGTGGTCAGGGAGGGAGATGCGGCCAAGCCACGGTGTCTTTATCTTTGGTGGGTTTTGAATATCACAGTGACAATGTGGACTTGGGCACCCTGGCTGTCTGCTAGGAGCCAGAAATGCTGCGTGTGTTCTCTTTTAAACTCTTGTGGTTTTGGGGGGGGGGATGTGGCAGGATGGGGGGATGCTCAGGGGGTGTGCTGAGGCAGCCTCAGGGCACGGGTCAGGTCAGGCAGGAGGCAGCTCTGGTGATGTGCATGGATCTTGCCATCAATGGCAGCTCTCCCACGGCCATGTTTACCCCTAGACTTTATCTTGATAAGGATGATTTTAAACTGAAAGATGGGAGATTTAGATGAGATCTTAGGAAGAAATTCTTTCCTGTGAGGGTGGTGGGACACTGGAACAGGTTGCCCAGAGAAGCTGTGGCTGCCCCATCCCTGGAGGGGTTCAAGGCCAGGCTGAATGGGGGTTGGAACTGGATGATCTTTAAGGTCTCTTCCAACCCGAATCATTCTATGATTCTATGATCTCCAGATACCTATAAACCAAGGCCTAGAAGGGACCTGCTGGGGATATGGGATGGAGGAACGCTGGCAGAGAAGTCTTCTTTCCCAGCCCAGCACCACTGCTGGTAGTGCATGGGTTTTCTCTTGACTGCTTTTGTGTTGTCTTCAGAAAGATTTGTGTTGTCCTTTCACCTTATCATGAAGAAGGCTTCATGTTTCAGCAGCCTATGCAAGGGGTGAGCTGAGCAGGGGGTCTCAAAGGGGCTTCTGCTGCCACGTGCCAGCGAAGGTGCCTGGGAAGCGTAGGAGAGCTGTCTCAGGGTCTATTATATTACCTCAAGTGCAACACTTCATCAAGGAGTGAAAAACCACTTCGCAAGGACATGACCATCTTTCAAATTCTGGGTTACAATTTTGCAACAGCGAAGGTGGAAACTGGAGAAAAGAAACAAAACAAAAACAAAACACCTTGGTGGTTGAGGAACACCAAGCTAATTCCTACTTTCCTTTAGATAAACTTCAGAGAGGAAACTTTTCATGATCTAAAAACATATCACGATCTTTTTCTTCCCCAGAAATATTAAAATTGTAATCTTCCTTTCCCCTGATGGCCCTCTGCCTTCCTATTTCCTTTTGGAAGTTTAGTACAGTAAAATGGACTTTTTCCAAAGCTTGGGGTAGCTCTGAGTTTAATTTTTCCCTTTTCTGCTGATCTGTTGAAACCCCATCCCTACCCCAAGCTGGGAATCTTTTGAAAACTTAGAGTGAGAAAAGGAGAAGGAGAAAAGCCCTTGAAAGCATGAAGAAGGCTTCGTGTTTCAGCAGCCTATGCAAGGGTTGAGCTGAGCAGGGGGTCTCAAAGGGGCTTCTGCTGCCACGTGCCAGCGAAGGTGCCTGGGAAGCGTAGGAGAGCTGTCTCAGGGTCTATTATATTACCTCAAGTGCAACACGTCATCAAGGAGTGAAAAACCACTTTGCATGGACATGACCATCTTTCAAATTCTGGGTTACAATTTTGCAACAGTGAAGGTGGAAACCGGAGAAACAAAACAAAAACAAAACACCTTGGTGCGAAGGTGGAAACTGGAGAAAAGAAACAAAACAAAAACAAAACACCTTGGTGGTTGAGGAACACCAAGCTAATTCCTACTTTCCTTTAGATAAACTTCAGAGAGGAAACTTTTCATGATCTAAAAACATATCACGATCTTTTTCTTCCCCAGAAATATTAAAATTGTAATCTTCCTTTCCCCTGATGGCCCTCTGCCTTCCTATTTCCTTTTGGAAGTTTAGTACAGTAAAATGGACTTTTTCCAAAGCTTGGGGTAGCTCTGAGTTTAATTTTTCCCTTTTCTGCTGATCTGTTGAAACCCCATCCCTACCCCAAGCTGGGAATCTTTTGAAAACTTAGAGTGAGAAAAGGAGAAGGAGAAAAGCCCTTGAAAGCTCCAGCAATCTCTTACCTGTTGGTGTTGTAGGGGGTGGAGGCACAAAGAGAAGATGAGAGGGCAAAGGAAGGATGGCAGAATATTGTTTTGGTTTTCCAAACCCTTAAAAAATAGAGTTGAAAAGCAAACAGAATGGAAAAAAAAAATGAAACTTTTTCAGAAATATTCTACTGAGTTGGGAGGGAGGGGAGTAACCACACCAAAAAGACCAAACCCAGTAACCCCACCCCCACAAACTCCAGCTTTTCAATAAACTACTGTTTAGGTTTGAAAGTATTTGACTAGGAGAACTTTTAATTCCCTTCCCCTTCATTTATAGGTAAAACTTTTCAGAGCACCAGCTGTGAGGTATGCTGATTCCATTGCCTCCCTGCCAATTATCCACCTTCACATGAGCATTAAGACAGACGTCTCGAGTAGTTTCAGTTGGGTAATTGTAGGATCAATTAATTTGGGGAAACAAGACCAAACTCAACAGGGTTACTCTGGAAACTTGTTGTGATTGTACCTGCGCTGGAAGAATTAAATACATGGATAATGAGGCATATGCATGAGTCATGAGTGCGCTGCTTGAGCCAGGATGGGCTGTAAATGTTCATTGGAATTTACGACCAAAAAAAGACTATTGTTTAAGTTGTGTCCGCTGCCTCCAAATGAAAGCTTGGCTTTGCACTCCCTCTTTCTCTGAGTCACCAGGCACAGGTCCAAAGTGTTTCTTTCACATGAGAAAGGAGGATTGTCCATCTTCTTTCAGAGCAAACTCAAACGGTTCCGTGTAACCTCCTCTCCAGGGCAGTTGTGTTGGTGCTGGCTGACTTCAAAGGGCAGCAGAAAAGGAGCCTTTGCGATGGTCCTACCAGCTCAGCCAACCCTCCCCTTCCAGACCGATGACAAACCTTTGGGGGTGGCATTGCTTTAGTTGGTGATTGCTCTTTCTACAACTTCACCATGGCCTTAAATTTGTTGCTCAGTAGTCACTGGGACTCAAAGCTGCCTCTGTTGAGAAGTTTCCTGTTGACACTGTCCTCTCTGTCCCTGTGCTGGCTGTAAAGCAAACTTCTGCAAACTGAAGACCTCTTCCAGATCTTCCAGGCTGATGAACACGCTGCCTCTCTTGATGCCCATCATGGCCTCTTGCCTGTTTGTCTCTGCTCCCAGAGCTTGGCTGGCAAAAGGGCCAGCCTGCAAACACATGCCAGCTGTATCTACTGGCAAAGCACTCAAGAAGGACACCTGAGCTAGTAGTTTGGCCAGAGCCAGCCTGAGCATTTGGATACGGTTCAGCTGTGGCACCAGGCTAGACCTGGCATTGGCTGACAGGCTCTCCTGAGCACACAGCCATTAAACTTCCAGCCTCTCATTAAAAAGCAGGAATGCAGGTCCTGAAGGGAATTTCCACAAGCTCTTCTGCCTGGCAAGGATCGCTGGAAAGCTTTTTTTTTCTGGAGAGGACTTGGGTGACACTCTAGAAGAGGGGCAGGACCCTCTTTAGCACAGGAGACAAGAGCAGAAGGGATTTGCACCATAGGAGGAGGCTGCTGGGTGGCACTTGGTGGTCCGTGATATGTGAGTCAGATGGGACAACTATTGTGATTCCTTCTGATCCTTAAGCTCTGATCCAAAGGTGTTTTTTATCTGACTCTGAGGCCACCCCCATTGAAAAATCCATCAAGTCCTACTGATAGCATTAGTTCAATATTAACCACATCCCTGAAAGTAAATTTGTGAGAATATAGTAGTTTCCCAGAGCAACTTAAATCTCTGGGCTGCTGAGGAAGAGAAAATTCTGTCCGTTATTGGACTAAGGTGGTGGTGACTCTCTGTGACTAACCCCTCAGGTACTCGCCTGTTGAAAGGACCTTATTGTATTCCAGCCAGTCCCTTGACTAACAGCTTTTGTTAGACTCAAGCTCTTAAGCCTGGGCTCTGATTAATGGCCCCACTGCCTCATGGTGAGTGGAATAAGTCTCAGTGTGTCTTTGTGCCCTGGGACTCCAGCACTGGCAGTGCCTTAGGCGTCTGTCTGGTGGATTCCTGTCTAGTTGGCCCTTGGCTCAAGGGAAACCATCCAACCTTCACTTCTCCAGGTGGATCTGTTCCTCCAAGGTAGTCTCTTGGCCCAAATCCTTCTCGCAGAGATACTTCCTTCTTGAGATCAGCTGTGCAGAAGTGAAGCAGCAGCAGGAGAATAAACCTGATACCTGGAGACATGGTCTGTGAGAGCATGACTATTCCATGAAACCAAAAAACTACGGGGGGAAAAAACTACCCTGCACCAAACCACTGAGAAATGCAGTTCCTAATAGCAATATAATACGACAGCATACGTGTTATAAAGTGTTGTATTTAACAGGTGAATAAAAAAATCTAGCCTACTCAGCTAGGAGAAGAACTAGAACAAACCAACCAGCCTAGAAGAACCAACCCCTCCACTCTCCTGTGCCTTTCCCAAGGAATCGATAAAAATATTTTACTTCCCAAAATACTTTATTTTTTTTCCTTCAGCTGATGCCAAGGCAGTGGTGAAAAGCCCCATGTTTTTCTTCTTCTTTCAGAGTGAAGAAGAGGGCAAGGTTGTGACCGGTGCTTTAAACTTTGACCCCACGCCTGATGCTCAGATTCTGTACAAGGCCATGAAAGGGCTTGGTGAGTTGACTCCAACAACAGATGTAAATTCTACATTCTGCTTATAATTGCAAAGTTAAAAGCCGTTCCTAAAGAAAATTTTAGCCAAAGATACCATTTTTTTGAGGTGAAAAATTAACAACTAAAGTTTCCTCATACTTAAACTTCTACATTATCTTTCCTGTGAGGGTGGTGAGAGCCTGGCCCGCAGAGATATTTCCTTCTTGAGATCAGCTGTGCAGAAATGAAGCAGCAGCAGGAGAACAAACCTGCTACCTGGATAAACGGTCCATGAGAGCATGACTATTCCATGAAACCAAAAAACTACGGGGGGAAAAAGCTACCCTGCACCAAACCACTGAGAAATGCAGTTCCTAATAGCAATATAATACGACAGCATACGTGTTATAAAGTGTTGTATTTAACAGGTGAATAAAAAAATCTAGCCTACTCAGCTAGGCGAAGAACTAGAACAAACCAACCAGCCTAGAAGAACCAACCCCTCCCCTCTCCTGTGTCTTTCCCAAGGAATCGATAAAAATATTTTACTTTCCAAAATACTTTATTTTTTTTCCTTCAGCTGATGCCAAAGCAGTGGTGAAAAGCCCCATGTTTTTCTTCTTCTTTCAGAGTGAAGAAGAGGGCAAGGTTGTGACCGGTGCTTTAAACTTTGACCCCACGCCTGATGCTCAGATTCTGTACAAGGCCATGAAAGGGCTTGGTGAGTTGACTCCAACAACAGATGTAAATTCTACATTCTGCTTATAATTGCAAAGTTAAAAGCCGTTCCTAAAGAAAATTTTAGCCAAAGATACCATTTTTTTGAGGTGAAAAATTAACAACTAAAGTTTCCTCATACTTAAACTTCTACATTATCTTTCCTGTGAGGGTGGTGAGAGCCTGGCCCATGTTGCCCAGAGAAGCTGTGGCTGCCCCATCCCTGGAGGGGTTCAAGGCCAGACTGGATGGGGCTTGGAGCAACCTGGTCTGGTGGGAGGTGTCCCTGCCCAGGGCAGGGGGGTTGGAATTGGATGATCTTTAAGGTCCCTTCCAACCCGAACCGTTCTATGATGACAATGAACTAGTGAAGGTTGTCTGAACACTTGAATTGGGATTTTTGGAATAGTCTCAACTTACTCTGTGTTTATTGCTTATTTTTTTTTCTCCACAGGGACTGATGAACAAGCTATAATTGATGTCCTAACCAAGAGGAGCAATATGCAGCGTCAACAGATTGCCAAATCCTTCAAAGCACAGTTTGGAAAGGTTCTTCCTAAACAAGGCCATATTTAGTTGTTGTTTCACTGCATGCAGGATGTAGTAAATGGGTGTGCAGTTCATGCTGCAAGCATAAACAATATGCAGGTCTTCTGCAAATAAGTAGATAAATATTTATTTATAAGGCCTGGACAAGTTAAAAGCCATTCCTAAAGAAAATTGCAGCCAAAGATACCATTTTTTGAGGTGGAAAATTAACAACTAAAGTTTCCTCAGTACATACTTAAACTTCTACGTTATCTTTGCTGTGAGGGTGGTGAGACCCCGGACCAGGTTGCCCAGAGAAGCTGTGGCTGCCCCATCCCTGGAGGGGTTCAAGGCCAGACTGGATGGGGCTTGGAGCAACCTGGTCTGGTGGGAGGTGTCCCTGCCCAGGGCAGGGGGTTGGAACTGGATGATCTTGAAGGACCCTTCCAACTCAAACCATTCTATGATGGCAATGAACTAGTGAAGGTTGTCTGAATATTTGAATTGGGATTTTTGGAATAGCCTCAACTTAGTCTGTGTTTATGGCTTATTGTTTCTTTCCACAGGGACTGATGAACAAGCTATAATTGATGTCCTAACCAAGAGGAGCAATATGCAACGTCAACAGATTGCAAAATCCTTCAAAGCACAGTTTGGAAAGGTTCTTCCTAAACAAGGCCATATTTAGTTGTTGTTTCACTGCATGCAGGATGTAGTAAATGGGTGTGCAGTTCATGCTGCAAGCATAAACAATATGCAGGTCTTCTGCAAATAAGTAGATAAATATTTATTTATAAGGCCTGGAGTGAATGTGTGAAATTATTATTATTTTTTTTTTTTTGGAAAAACTGGTTTTCTCCCAAAGAGTCCAATTTTATTTTCTAAATTACATTTTGTCCAGAAATATTTTTTAAGAATTGATTTTAACTTGAAGTGTAACCTATTGCTTTCAAAGCTATAAAAAAAAAAAAATTGATAGCTTTCTGAGTGGCATTTTGAGTAAAATATTGGTTTGTTTTGAGGGTATTTTAAATGCCAAAGAAAGTTCAACTTAGACTTATTAAATTATATTTGTTTGGAAATTCTGAAATGAAAACAAACTGAGATTATCGACAACCATGTTTTCCTGCAGCTATCTTTCTGTCTTTTGTAAAATCTTACTTTTATTGGCAAAAACTCTTCCACCAGCCATACTCCAGAGCTAGTTCTCTGAGAGTCACAGTTAAAGAGGGGGGGAAAGAAGGAAATGTATTGGGAAAGAGCAATATAGGCTCTTGGGTCAGTGTAGAAACAGGGGACTCCAATGACTCCCTTCCAATGGAAGGGAGGCTGTTATGGAAGGGAGATGGGGGACAAGTATGGGACAATTGATAGAGTGCTTGCACCCCACTAAAATCGTACCCTAAAAACCTGCATTATAGTGAAAGGAAAGTTGGCAGTCTATCTTCAAGTCTATCCAAGGCCAGGCTGGATGGGGCTTGGAGCAACCTGGTCTGGTGGGAGGTGTCCCTGCCCAGGGCTGGGGAATTGGAACACAATGATCTTTAAGGTCCCTTCCAACCCAAACCATTCATGATTCAAACAGACTGAATGTCTGATTCTGCAGAAGTCCTGGGTGTTCATGTGCAGGCTTTGGGAATTGGCTGGGTGAAGCTCCATCCCTTGGAGGAGCCTTCAGCTGCCTGGTTCTGCTTTCTCAGTTAAAAAAGGTGGAGGGAGCTTTTCCTCTTCCCTGCTCTGCTGCAGAATTAATTAGTACCTGGGAGAAGCTTGAGTAATGGGACAACAGGGAAGGTGGAAGGACCTAGACACGTCCCCTTTTGGACTTAGGTGTCTCTTTCAGTCCCGGGACCTTTTCTAATAAACTGACAAGACAATATTATCGTTCAGCTTCATTGCTGTAGGCCATGGGGATGGAAACAGCCCCAGGCAGTAAAGAGGTCCTCTGAGGCTTTTTATGTAACTGTATGGTGTGTGTTTAACAGGACCTGATTGAAAGCCTGAAGTCTGAACTGAGTGGTGACTTTGAGAGGCTCATGGTAGCCCTCATGTACTCCCCGTTCAAGTATGATGCTAAGGAGCTCCATGATGCCATGAAGGTGAGCAAATTGCATGCTGACCCTTAAGTAGCAGCACAGATCCGGTGTTAATTTCCTGTAACTCTGCTAATTAACACAAGTGATACTAACTGGACTGTCACATAGTTAAGTTTGTTATTAGCAGTGGCCTTTGAGAAATGTCCTTTTAGGGACATAGTTTAGTGGTGGTTTTGGCAGTGTTAGGTTGATGGTTGGACTTGATCTTAAAAGGTCCCTTCCAACCTAGATGATTCTATGAAATAGTTAATTTTGCCACTAATGCATATCTGGGGGGAAATGCTGCTTTGGGGGTGTATGAGAGTTTCTGTACACACATGTCTCGGAGCCTGGGGAAGGCAGCAGCAAAACTAAACTCAGCTTTGGCAAGGAATGAACGTCCACAGATGATGGCTTTTGGTTAAACATCTCTTCCTGCTTTCTGCAGTGCCTCTTGTGAATGAAGCTTAATGACACAAAGCTGTTGCCCTGGTGTCCCACCTGAGACATGAAACCTTTAAGAAACCAAGGGGTGGTGGTGCGAGGGTCAGGCTGGGGTTGGCTGGGATCCTGCCTCTTGATACAGTCCCTTTTCAGGTTTCACATGCAGAGAGGTCTATTAAAATGGACTGACCAGGCAAACATTGGTTTACCCACATCATAGAATTGTAACCCTCTAACACTGTCTGTCATCAAAGATCCAGGTCTAGAAATGCGTTGCAGAAGTCAATTAGGCACCTCTGCAAAAGAAACCACGTTCAAACCAAATGTGTTTTGTGTCTCCAGCTTTTGTCCTGACAGTTTCTCACGGCTCAGCATTCACTTTACTGCCATCTGACTCCTCCCTTGGCTATACTTCTCTAGCAATAAATTACACTCCCTGACTAGATACCTCTCCCCACCTTTATTTCTCCACTCTGTTTTCTATTAAAGGGTGCAGGAACAAGTGAAGATGTTATCATAGAGATCCTGGCATCCCGGACAAAAGCGCAGATCAAAGAGATAATCAAGGCGTACAAAGAAGGTGAAGTACCTGGGGCTCTAATTTGTGTGATCAGAGCCATGTGTGAGTGCCTGATTGCACATCAGGAATGGTGTTACCAACTTAGCACGGGCAGCAGAAAAATGGGATTTTTTAAAAGCAAGAAGGTGCAACCTAACTCTGCTTTCAGCCTGGCAAACAAAGTGACTACTCAGAGAGAATTTGAAAATCCCTTTCCAACTCTCCATCAGGCTAGAGGAAACCGTCAGCAGATCACAAATTTGGTTCATTTTGGCCACAAAGGCTATTGCCAGAATGCAAGCAGAACTATAAGTATGCACTTGGCTTTTTCTCCCTGTTAAATGCACTCAAGATGGGAATTTATCAAAAATGTCTTTGTAACTACTTGGTATCTCTTTGCTCCCTTAAAGTTTTATCTCTAACGTTAGGTCTGTGTTTATTTCTCAGACATTAGTGGAGCTAGAGACTCAGTTGGATGTGAATGCTGACCTGGGTATCACTGAGGGTGTGAGCTAATCCCAGCCCTGGTTTTTTATGTTAGCGACCTTCTTGACTAGTGTCAGGCTATTGTGTGTCCTTGTGTGACTGGTAATATCCCAACTATATCGCCCAAATAACAAAACCTTCCCTTGTCCTTCTCTTTCCCTCGGGCAGAATACGGTTCTGATCTGGAAGACGACATAAAATCGGAAACAAGTGGCTACTTTGAACAGATTCTGGTTTGCCTTCTTCAGGTAATGCTGGAGAAGAGAAATGAGGCTATAAAGATCTTCACATTTTTCTCCTCCTTTTTGGAGAAGGGGTGCAATAGAAGAGGCAATACAGTCATGATCGCTAGATAAACTGCAGAGACAAACATGTTCAGTTGGGGGTGTTCAGCCTGGAGAAGAGAAGGCTCCGGGGAGACCTTAGAGCCCCTTCCAGTCCCTAAAGGGGCTCCAGGAGAGATGGAGAGGGACTCTTGATGAGGGAGGGGAGCAACAGGAGTTAGCAGTTTTTTGGGCTGCGCTTCACATAACTGGTTTTGGTGCCTTTCAGTGAAGGAGTCAGCCCTTGTGCCTTCTGAGATTGCTGCTTGACTCCTCTGCAGAAATAGATAGCTGAGATGGGTAATCAGTTGTTGCCCAGAATGTTTGCTGTGATGCTTATACATGGAAGGATCCTCATGAGACAAAAATCTTACTTTTCTTTTTCTTCTCGTAGGGTGAGAGGGACAATGCCACCCTCTACGTGGACACAGCACAGGCTCTCCAGGATGCAGAGGTACCCTCCAATGCCCGTGATCAGTCATATGCCTGCATCCCACCTCTCTTGAGCTTCAGAGTGCTTCAGTGGGCAGCAGAGTCCTAGTCAGCAGAGAGTTGGAGCCACAATAGTTCGGGGAGGGGTGGTCTTCAAGTGGAAGCAACTTGGGGTTCTTCAATTTTGTTGCACCACTGAGCCTTGTTTGACATGTGAAAGTCTATGAGTATGGTGGAGTGGGACAGCAAACAGGGAGGAAACCTCAGAAGTATTGTTGGCTGCTGCAGGAGGGTTGGGAAGGGTGGAGATAAATTGGAGCAGCCACTGACTAGGAGATGTGGTCAAGGGTTTTCATAATCAACCATTCTGTGAGAGTCTAGTTCACACTGTTTTCACTTCAGACCCCTTTGCCCTGGCAGTGCCTTGAGTCAGGCTCTGTTCCTTTGCCAGCTGCACGCACAGAACATCTCTCTGATAGTTGTGTGTTAAATCACAGACTCTCTATGCTGCTGGGGAGAAGATTCGGGGCACTGACGAGATACAGTTCATCACCATCTTGTGCACAAGGAGTGCCACGCACTTGCTGAAAGGTAAGAAAAAGGGGCCCTTATTCCTAAGGGAGAAATCACTCTCACCAAAAAGAAGAGGCAGGGCTATGGATGGCAGAGATGGGTGCTCAAAAATACGTGTCTGTGTCCTAAACCATGGTCACTCAGTGATTAAAAGCTGCCAACTTTCATGAAAACTTATGAAGGCTTGTAAAAAAAATAAAAATCAAATGGCTTATCTAGGAGTCCTTATACAGTGATGATGGCTGGATGGTATAGCTCTTTTTCTAAACCCAAGGACAGAGAGAGTCCCTTTCTAACCAGGCAGGAGCATGTCAAAATGCCTGAGCAGTTGCTTGGCAAAAAATTGAAGTTTTTTTGTGTTTCAAACAGTGTTTGAAGAATACCAGAAACTGGCCGGTAAGAGCATAGAAGACTCTATCAGGAGTGAAACTAATGGTTCACTTGAGGATGCCATGCTGGCTATTGGTAAGAGGGGCTTCATTTCCCTTTCTTTTGACTGTTATGGGATGGATCTACTTTATTATAAAGGTATCTGGTAGGAAGTAAAGGGTGCTTTAGGATCCCAGGGGCACACTGAATTAAAGGGAAGCATGTTGAATCTCTGCTACCTGGGCTGGAATTACCATTGGTTCTCACTGAGGTTTTTTGTATGTCTAGTAAAATGCACCAGGAACATCCGTTGCTACTTTGCAGAGAGGCTGTACCATGCTTTAAAGGTAAGACTCTTCATTGTAAGAGACTTGTTTTCATACTGGACTTCGCTTGTAACCTGGCTTCCAAAAAATTCAAATTAGATGACCCAAGGTTTTGGTGAAATCCAGCAAGTTTAGTGCCGTTGTTGCCAGTAAAAGCAGAATCCCTTCAAGCATCTTGGGAAGAGAAGTACCCTTTAAGCTTGAGATACCATGGGAGCCTGGCTTTTCTGACTTAAAAGTCTGCAAGGAACCTAGTCTCACCTCCTGGAACATGGACAAAACTGGAATTTGTTTCTCTAAGAGGCTGATTGGGGTAAAGTTTAGCCCATAATGTTTCCTTAATGGACCGAACCACAATATTTTCTTTTAAGGAAGCAATTCTCCCAATGGCATTATAAATGGAAGAGCCTAGTCTCACCTTCTGGAACATGGACAAAACTTCTGGAATTTGTTTCTCTAAGAGGCTGATCGGGGTAAAGTTTAGCCTATAATGTTGCCTTAATGGACCGAACCACAATATTTTCTTTTAAGGAAGCAATTCTCCCAATGGCATTATAAATGGAAGAGTCCTTGATGGGGACACATAAGGCATCTGCAGGTTGTGCCCCTGTAACTCTCAACTGAGCTGGCCCTCCAGAAGGAGAAGCAGATGTGCTGCAGAAGATGTGCCAAGTGATGTTTGGCAGGTTCCTCCTGTCCTGGACCAATTTTCAATAGCTTATCCCTTTGAACACCTACTAACACCCCAGACTGATACATCTGTTATTTCAGGGGGCTGGCACCCGTGACGGGACTCTCATAAGGGTGATTGTTTCTCGAAGTGAAGTTGACCTAAACCTTATAAAGGTTGAATTCAAGCAGATCGCAGGAAAATCTCTCTCCAGTATGATTGTGGTAAGCAGCATCTTCATGTGATGGTTCTTTGCTATCACACACATTCCTAACCTGTCCAGCACTGTGGGGTGATTCCACAGTTGTTTTCAGTATTCCAGTATATTTCAGTTTAAATGTCATTTTCGTTAGGCCTGTTAAAAATCAGCTACCTTAAGAGACACATGTGCCTGAAAGGTGAGTCAGATTGTGTGCTCTGTGACCAACCTGGGCAAAGCCAACCCTGAGGAGAGACTGCTCCACGTTTTTCATGGGCCACAGAGCCTGTATCTCTGCATTTCATGACCTCCTAGGTGAATGTAGATTCATTTAATTCTCCCTGTGACACCTTTCCCACACCGCTGTGCTATTTTCTCCTCTCTTGGAGTTGTCCTTAACCATGTCGAGCCAGTGCCATATAAGTCAAAAGAGTGCTGTTTGTGGTTTTGGCTTGATTGTTCTGTTTTTTAACTGATTTAAGCCAGATGAAGGCCTGGTCTGTACTGGGGTAAGGTAGGTTTAGAAGCTGAACCTTGTCACAGCATATTGTAGCTTCTGAGGTTTGAGTCTCAGCCCTGAGTGAGCGACTCTCTCTCCCCTTTTAGGGCTGAAATTCTGGGTTTTACCATTTGTCCTAAGGACTCTGGGATGTTCCTCTCCCCTGGTGCAAATGGCACAGAAGCCCTGTCCTCAGCAGTCCCCATGGGAAGTCTGGCTCTGTAATGAGGGCCCTTTCTTCTAATTTGCACTGTCAGTGTCTGTCATGTTGATTAATGACCAGTCTTCAAGGGTCTGCACGGAACATTCCTTCCTCCCGAGAAGTGGAACTGGCTTTTACACCTGTCATCACAAAAACATTCAAAGGGAGCACTTTTTTTTTTTTTTTAATCCGGTGATATTCTCTGAAGTGCTTCTCTAGATCAAAATGACCACATTTGTGGCTTTTTAAAAAGAAGAAAGTCATATGTCAGGGCTAACTATGCTGCCCTCTCCCTTCCTGCAGGGGAGAGAATGCTGCACAAACCCCCAGAGATATAAAATCTGAACAGACCGGGCTCGGTTGCTCTCCCTTGTTGCTGACTTTGTGCTGCTCTGTGGGGATTGCTCACCTGCCTTCCAAAGGAAAGAACTGGACTTTATACGTGTTATTCCAGGTGGCAGCTACGAGCATCACTTCTCCCTTCACCTTTGATGGTGTGTCAGCTGGAGGTAGCTCTGCTGAAGTCTGGCTTGCTCTTCCCAAACTCCTTTTCCCATGTGGGCATGTTCCACGGACTGACAAAGCCAGCGCTGGGGGCGTGCAGAGGAACTTCCACACTCACCTATTCTTTTTATTTATTTTTTTTTCCTCTTTTTCTCCTGTCAGGATGACACCAGTGGGGATTACAAGACAGCTTTACTCAATCTCTGTGGCAGTGACTGACGAAATCTAGGAGGAAGACACTGAAACGGATACAGCGGGGAAACTAACAGTGAACAAGAGTCTGCAAATGCACATGTAGAAAAATCTTTCTATTGATCCGAGTGGGGATAAAAAGAAGATTAAATTAATGATCAAGGTTTCCAAAGGTCTCTGAAGGATGTGGGTTCTCATTACACATTAAAATCTATTCACTTCCCTAACAGTTTTTCAAACACAAGTGGGAATGTTTCTTTTCCGTTTCCATTTTATTTTCTGCAACTTCCAATTTCCCTTCTTTTTTAACAAGTTGTGAAGGGGGGGCACTTAAACATGAAATTTAAGGTGTTGGGGTTGTTTTTTTTTTTTTGGAGCCATTGAGCCCTCTGCAGCTGTTGCATGAGTCTGAACACCTGGGGATTACAAGACAGCTTTACTGAATCTCTGTGGCAGTGACTGACGAAATCTAGGAGGAAGACACTGAAATGGATACAGCGGGGAAACTAACAGTGAACAAGAGTCTGCAAATGCACATGTAGAAAAATCTTTCTATTGATCCGAGTGGGGATAAAAAGAAGATTAAATTAATGATCAAGGTTTCCAAAGGTCTCTGAAGGATGTGGGTTCTCATTACACATTAAAATCTATTCACTTCCCTAACAGTTTTTCAAACACAAGTGGGAATGTTTCTTTTCCGTTTCCATTTTATTTTCTGCAACTTCCAATTTCCCTTCTTTTTTAACAAGTTGTGAAGGGGGGGCACTTAAACATGAAATTTAAGGTGTTGGGGTTGTTTTTTTTTTTTTGGAGCCATTGAGCCCTCTGCAGCTGTTGCATGAGTCTGAACACCCCTACAAAGCTTGGGCTAGGACAAGTAGGTACGGCACCGACCATTCAATGCTGGTGGGGTGGGCCTGGGAGGAGTCCCAGATATTAATGGGGCTTTAGGGCACGGGTCAGAATGGAGAATTCAGCCCAGGGGGGAACTGGTTTAGCAGCCTTATCTGCATAACTTCAGTGGGGGCTCCCCAAGGAGCAGGGAATGGCAGAGCCAAACTGACTGTAAGCATGTGAAAGTTGAAAGCTGTATTGCTTGATTTTTATTTTTTTTTTTTTTTAATTTTTTTTTTCTTCTTGCTTGTGTGAGTGTCTGCAGGGGGGGCCCGGCAAGTTCAGGGGGTGACATCAGAGTGCAGAGAAAGAACAACTGGGATGGATTATTTGTTTTTGTCAGAATGCAGGGAAAGAACAACTGGGATGGATTATTTGTTTTTTGGTGAATATAGGATATCTTGCTCTTGGGAGCAGAACTGTTTCTGCTCATAGTTTCACAGAAACTTCAAAGAAGTCAGTGGAGTCAGTGGAGTCCCTTGGAAAATTGCCCACCACCACCACCTCCATGACCACCTACCACTTGCTGAGTGAGGCCCCAGATTTGGGCACTGATACAGAGAGACCGGGACAAAATGCTTTGAGAAGCTCAGCTCTGCCTTGATGAATGATTCCCCATGAGTAAAGCAACTCATTTAGATGTGTAATTACCAAAAACCACTGTGTTTGGAGATGTAACATTTCTGATGGAGTGGGTGAATTTTCTGCCAGAGGCTTGGGGGGGCCAGGACTTGGAGCTGGGGTCAGGGTATCTGCAGGTATCTCCAGGTGAACATGAAGAGAAGGAGGTTTCAGTCTCTGATCATAGAATGGTTTTGGATTGGAAGGGACCTTAAAGACCATCGAGTTCCAACCCCCCTGCCATGGGCAGGGACACCTCCCACCAGACCAGGTTGTTCAATTCAGCCTGGCCTTGAACCCCTCCAGGGATGGGGCAGCCACAGCTTCTCTGGGCAACCTGTTCCAGTGTCTCACCACCCTCACAGGAGAGAATTTCTTCCTAATATCTCATCTAAATCTCCCCTCTTTCAGTTTAAAACTGTTACCCGTTGTCCTATGGCTCCAATCCCTGATCCAGAGTCCCTCCCCATCTCTCCTGGAGCCCCTTTAGGGACTGGAAGGGGCTCTAAGGTCTCCCTGGAGCTTTCTCTTCTCCGGGCTGAACAATCCGTGTTTTCACTGGTTGCCCAATTTCTCTCTGGGACTAAAATGAGTTGGTGTTTTCACTGGTTTCCCAATTTCTCTCTGGGACTAAAATGAGTTGGAGACACGTCTCTAGACTGAGCATCGAGGGGAAGTTCTTCACTCAGATTTTGGGGTTTGTGAGCCAGCTCCAGGCATCCAAGGGTGAAAAATCACATGTGCCTTCTGCTGGCCAGAGGACCCACTTGATTTTGATTTTTCGGGGAGCCGCTTATTCTCCTTGGTTGTGCTTCAGAGGGGGTTCAGGCAGTGATTTCTAGCGAGAAGCGTGCCAGGACCGGGCACAGGGGGTGCCTGCTGTAGAGAAAACCGTGCTTACACCACCATCTTGTGGGTGACAGCCTGCATGCAGCCCGGCAGGGCTGGCGGCTGAAGAGGGGGAGTTGAAGGACCATCTCGGTGGCCTTGAGCCCCTCTACTTCCCACCAAGTGTCCAAACGCCTGGGACATGGGCCGGGGCTCCAGCCGGAGAGATGCTGAACCAGCACAAGGTGGTGAGATTTGCTCCCCTTTAAACAACTCCCAGCTTTTTTAAAACCTGTAACGAAGGGATGCATTGGGATAGATGTCCCCTTTGTGACTCTGGTTTTTGGGGACACTCACCCTGTGGCCACTTAGTGCTGGTGTGGCCAAGAGGGTCCGCAGAAATGCTTCTCCTCTGACCAGATCCCTGCCATGAGGCTTTAGGCAAAATATGAGCTGTTCCCCCAGCATCTGGAGTTTTATTTCGGGAAGGCCAAATGGGAATTTGTAACTGCCCGAGCAGGGAGTGTGGATGATTTATAGGGTTGTACCCACAACGTTTGCATTTCCTGAGGTTGGACAGGCAGCGAGGGAGAAGTGATCCCAGCTCAGAGGGACTTGGTAGAAAAGCTGGGTAGGAAAAGTAAGTAAAATTAAAAAAAAACAAAACAAAACCTGGGTAGAAAAGCTTAATGAAAGCTCAGCACTTCAAAGATATTTTAGTTCAGAGCTGGCTGGCTGGTGATTTCACTGAAATTTTTGTGCTTGCACCATCTCAGAGCTCCTGTTGTTGTAATTATTGTCAGGTTATTCAGGTCAGAGGTTGACCTTTTCTCCTTGGCCCGTGCTTAGCACGGTGGGTTAGGATTAGAGAGCTGTTTCAGTGTTGTTTGTGGTCCCAATTTATTAATAACAGCTTGGGAGATGTAAGGTGAGTTGCCCGTAGACTCCCGGGAGCTCAGTAGTAAAGCTGGGAAGCAGGAACAACTGAGGGAAGCTGATTCTATCACCGTAATTGCTGGGAAACAAAACAATTGTAAAACATCAATAAAGATATAATTACATATTGATTGCTGCTAAAATGTTCCCTGGGTGAACAGGTGCTTTAATAAAGCGGAATCAATTCCTAAGCTTGTTCTAACCAGTCTTTTCCAAATGCAAATATTGACTTAGGGCCTTTCTATTCATTCACAGTTTAATTAACATGATTTTATTGCATAAAAATCAAGATAAATGCTCAGCAAGGAAGAGGTAATAGGGGCAATGTGAAAAATGCCCAGGACTGGTGCAGGCCTTCTGCTGCCCGTGTGCCAGCCTTTCTCCACCTCCTGTGCTGAGGAAGACCTGTGTGCAGGTGGTCCCCAGACATGGCATTAATGCCACCTTGCTGTCCCCCTCCGTGTGGCTGCTCTGTGTCCCCAGGCACAGCACAGAGAGGGCAGGAGCTGTGCTAACCAGCTGGGGTGTAGGTACTTCAGCTCTTTGCTCGATTCACACCTGGCTGTACGTAGGAATAGTTGATTCCAACCACCAGCTCTGCTCCTCCTGGTACCTGGGAGCACTAACGAAAAAATCTATTCCAGTTATGATGCCACATAAATCATGTTTAACCCCTCAAGGCTCCTATTCCAGAGAAATCTGACTTTATAGAATGTTGTTTAATTCTTCCAGCACCCCAGTGCAGATGTGGCCTCAAACCCAGTAGGTTGCCCACAGGATCCCCAGGCAATGGCCAACCACAGACAAAGGCTCTGCTTAAGAGATACCTTATCACTCTGAATTATGGAGAGAAGAAGAAAAGATTGGATGGGTCTGGCTTCACTTGCACTTCAATTTTGCAGTAGTTTGGAGCGGTTTTGGATAAAACATATTCAAGTGTTCAAACTCAGGTTAAAAAAACCCCATTGTTCCTGTAGGGAAGTGGAAGAAGAAAACAAATATCCGAGTTGGCAAAGTGGGATATCTCTTTACCACCTCCCCATGCTTAGGAATGATTTTTAAGGGTGAGGAACTAATCTGAGAAGGATGTTCAGTCTTCCTATGGTTTTCCCAGCACCTCTGGGTGATGTAGGCTGTTGAGCCGGGACTAGTGTGGGGCAGGGGATGAGCCTTCCCTGAGGGACTGGAGCTGGCACTGGGGCATCTATGAAGCAGCCCAGGCAGCTTTTCTTCTCCCCAGAGCAGACGGTGGGTTTGCCAAAACAAGGACAGCACAGCGTGTGGCCTGGGGAGGTGGGTCGGGCCAGCATGGATGGCCCCATCAGTTGCTCTGGGGTGGGCTGAAGGGAAGGTTGAGGGGAGAGCATCCTCATTGCCAGGCAGATGGGAGACTTTCTGAATGGGAATTTATTATTTTCTATTCTTAAGTTAATAAATTAGCAGTAAATTAGCGTTGATTTATTAATGTAACGTACTGAGATGAGGAAATACTGCCTGCCACAGGCATCCAGATGGGATGATGGAGTCTCCTGGTGTGGTGGCTTATTGCCTGGTATTCTTGAAGGAGTTCATTTTGCTGGCAAGGTGGCCATCTGATGACAAACTGTAGACCTGCCTCAGGACCTATTGGATGGTATTTCCCTTGCAGGAAAGATAGTACCAAACTGTAAGACGCTGAGATGAGACATAACAGGCTTTCCCTCAACTTCCACGCTGAACCCGGATGCCTGAGCTGACTCCAAATACTCTTTATTTTTTCAGTGGTTGGGGTCAATAACTGCAGCACATCCCCGTGCCTGGATGTTTTGTTTGACGCAGTGCAGTGACCTCCTCTCAGACCACATGTAAACAAGAAGGTCACTCCAATTCTCCATCGCTCCCATCACTGCAAACAATACTGACCTCGTAAGTAGTTGTCCTTCAGCCTTCTGGTGTCAT